CAGCGCGCGCCCGGCTTCCTCCTTCCGGCGCCGCTACATCCCTGCACCCCGCCGGCGGCGGCGGGTAGCGGCGCGAAGGCTTGGGGCGGAGCTGGCCTCCGGGACATCAGGGACGCCCACAGGCCCGGGGAGGCTGGAGCAGAGTGCTGGCAGCCCGGGAGGAGATCGCGAGCGCCGGCTGCACAGGGGTGAGCTGGGAACCCGGGGACCGCGGGGTCCCCCACCCCCATCCCGGGTGGACAGAAGGGTGATGGAATCGGTTTTCCTTGGCGAGCCACCTCAGTGTGTACTGGGGCGACTTAAAGACATCCCTGGATGTCTTTCCGGGAAGAGCTTTCATCACTTAATTATGCAACGAGGCGACGTCCTTGTGCGGGATGCAGTGATGAATGGAATCAGTAATACTTGTGTACCATCCATCATCTACCTCTGCCATCCTGGACTGGGAATTTGCATTTGTAATTGGGGGCTGGAAAGAGGAGAACATTTTTCCCTCTTGGGTCCCCGGGGCGTGCGGGAAAGGAGGACGGAGAGGGAGGAACCTGTGCAGCTTTTCCGAGTGAGCGCACGGTTGAGCGCGGCTCCTGTGGCGCCGGAGGGAAAGACCGACTGGAACCGCAGGAGCGCTGCCAGCAGGTCCAGCGTGCTCCACCTCAGACTTTCTCCACCAAGAGGCCTGTCAGAAGTTGGAGGTCTAGACGTCAATTTCTGCACTTTCTGTCTGAACAGATGAAACAGGTTTTCCAAAGGCTGGTGGTGCCTTTTCTCTCTCCAAGTCTGCTCCAGGCAGGAAAGGGCTGGGCAGTGAATACAAAGTAGCTAGCGCAGCCAGGTTCTGGTTAGCTGAGCAGCGGGATTTGTCTAAAAATTGGTCCTAACCAGACAGAGGCTCTGGCCACAAGGAGTTGGGTCACTTCGTTGGTCTCCTCGAATGGGGGAATGTCTTGAGATATTCTTAAAATAAGGCAGCTCAGCTTTGTTCTGGCTTGCTGATCACCAGCCAGGACTTCATCTTTTTTAGGTGAGTGGGTTAAAAAGAAAAGACACAAAGAGAAATAAATGGCTTTCTACCTTCGGGTCCCCAGGATAATTAGGACATAATTCATCTTGAAGCAGAATTGAAATTCAAGATGAAAAGAAACATCTTTACATGGTTGCTCTTGACCCCGAAGAATGGAATCTTAAGGAAATAACCTGGGAAAGTCTCTACTTCCCGGAAACAAAAATGGGGGTTTCTTGTAGAGCTGAACAGAGAGCATCGGGAAGAATTTGTAAATATTCTGGACCATTTTCAGTAATAGTTGGGTCATTTTTTAAGCTTCAGGAAATTATGCAATGAAGAATTATGGGAGAGTCAGGAATATAGCAGGGAGAGGACTATGGGAGGCCTTAGAGACTTCAGATCCAGTCTGTTTTCTCTTCACACAATCTGAATTGTTCAAGATACGTGACATGAGATTGCCTTTAATTTTAACATTGAGGTGTTTTGTTTTTCTTTTAGAATAAAGGCCATTGTTTGTTTATTCTGCCAATAACCCTGTTAAATCTGTGTTTTTTTTCGGTTATTCATTTATCAAATGGCTTTTGTCCAGAATCTGTCAGGTACTAAAGCCTGAAGGAATCCAGAACCCAGAGTGTATCTGTCATTGGAATAATGGATGGTGCTGTATAAAAATTATTTACCCAATGTCAAACAAAGGAAACAATGGGATTGGATTATTTTCTTTGTAAAAATATTTCATTAATGATTTTAATTTTCATACTAAATCACAAGGGTGACTTTTAAATAGCTGGCTCTCTTGGCACACGTGGCACACATATATTCTTGTTTATTAAAAAATTCAAGTGCTACCTGCTTCCTGTGAGGGACCTGTTATACAAAATACAGTTGTATAGTCCAAGTGACTATTCCCAGTAGAAACTAAGTTATGTTAAGAAAATTGACCTAACTTTCAGTGGTGGTTTTGTTACTCGGTTTTGGTTTTGGTCTTTTTGTTTTGAGATGGGTTTTCATGTAGCCTGGTCTGGCTTCAAACTCTGCAGCTGAAGATGGCCTTGAATTTTCACTGCTATTTTAAATCATCCTACACAGGGACAAGAGGAGCCACAGACCTCAAGCAGAACAAGTACAGCATGAGAATGTGACACCTCCAACCCCAGGCCTCAGATGGTCCGTGATGGAAAATGTGAACCCACAAGGTATTTATTAAGGTCATTGCTCTTCAATATTCGTAGTGCTTCCTGTCTCGCTTGTATAGAGACTTGAGAGAACTTAAGCATCTGATGATGAATATATACATGCATACTTAGAAATGTCTCTTTAAATACAGTAGGGGCAAACTCTCAGCAGCTAGCACTGAGTTGGTGCCTGCTGGGTGCCTAGACTGTCCCATGCAGGTGTTCACTATATTCTATTACTCAAAGCTCCTGTCTTGACCATTGTTGTATTTCTCACTGGCCAGAGTTAGGATGTGTTTTTGTCCTGCTAACCAAGGACAGCCCAACCTTCTAAGGCAGGGTTGGAAGGACTGCAGCAGAAAAATTCTGAACTCTGATCCAGAGAAACAGACGCTCTGAACGTAAAAGCTCAGTGGTCTATAATACAACTATATAAGACGAATTTGTATGCTGTTCTGTGCTTTATTAAGTTGTAGTTTAATAAATTTGTTGCTACACCGCAATTCAAAAATCAAAAAGTCTGACCAGGCAGTGGTGGCTCACGCCTTTAATGCCAGCACTCGGGAGGCAGAGGCAGGTGGATCTCTATAAGTTCGAGGCCAGCCTGGTCTACAGAGCGAGATCCAGGACAGGCACCAAAACTACAGAGAAACCCTGTCTCAAAAAAACAAAAACAAAAACAAAACAAAAATCCAATAGTCTGACAGACAGATGATACCCTCATTGTACCAGCCTTGGAGTCTGGTTCTCTTCTCCCCAGTGTCCTTCTAGGGGTGAAGACAATTACTAAATTGTAAGACGTTTCCTTTGTGTCTGGAAGTATTACAGAAGTTGAACACTGTATCTGTGAAGCCTGAGGTATGTGTGATAGGGTGAGGACCAGGGCTTCCTTCTCAGCCCCAGAGGGCAATCAGCAGCTCTGCTCCCAGGCTCCCCTCAAATCCCTCTTGCTCATGTTATACCAGGGACACCAGCCTCCTTGTAGCTTTCAGAATTCCAGAACCTAGACTGTGGTTTAGTCAACTCTTCCTGATTTGCTCTATTCCCAACCGCCCCCCCCTTTTTTTTTTTTACCAGTTTTGTTTTAATAAAACATAATCTTTATTATATCAAATTATACATTCAGATATACAGTTTCAGTCATTTTCTTCCAGATGTTTTGATCAACTCATTGTAAACAAGGAGCTGAAATCTGCATACAGTCTTGGTACGAGAATGTCCAGGGTCCTGGTCAGGAGGGCAGGTGGATTGTTCTTTTCATTGTTTATAATTTGTGCATGTTTTTACATTTATTTATTTTGTACTCTCACACACACATACTATGTAAGTATATATATTTATATACATATACTATATCTGTCTACAAATACAGTGTGTGTGTGTGTGTGTGTGTGTGTGTGTGTGTGTGTGTGTGTTTACAAGCATGTGTGTGGCAGGATACAGCATGTGGAGGTCAGAGGACAACTTTGGGGAGTCAGTCCTTTCCGTCCACCATGTGGGTACCAAGGATTAAATTCAGGTCCTCAGGCCTGGCAGCAATCACATTTACCCTTGAACCATCTCACAGGTCCAATTTAAGCATTTTTAAGATTGGCATAAAAGAATTCAGAGTCATAGACACACTTAAGCAAAGAAACTACACAGAGCAGGACCTTACAGTGTATGACAAAACCAGCCCTTACTAAGTGGAAATTGCTGATGCCGGAAGTCCTCAGCAATTGGGTGATAGAAATATATTCAAGTTTGGAGGGAGACACTGGTGTTTGTGGGCAAACAATAGTCTGCTGAAAAGTCACTTCATGTCTTTTAAACTAGTGATTAAAAAAAAAAAAATTTGGGTCATTCATAACTTCTTAAAATGTACATCTTAATTAATTAACTGCAAAATCCACGCTTCCCAATCTTTGAGACTATACATTCAGAACTAGTGAACCATGGTAGAAAGAAAAAAAAAATCAACTGTTAGCATTCTGAAAACAGGAGTCTTGTCTCAGCTAGAGAAATGAACTGTCCCCTCCCACCCTGCAGGACCATCAGGGAGCCCAGGACCTGGCCTTGTGTCCTGTGTCTTGATGCTACCAGTGAGAATGATGATGCCTCGTTTTAGTCTCTCCAGGGAGGGCTTGCTCCCTGCACTTACAGGACTGTCTCTTTGCCCCACTCTTGAACGATGTAACCAGCAGCTCTGCCTCTTTGCTCTAAGGCGGTGCCTAGCTGACCCCAGTTCCCTGGGTGGGGCCCGGCAATGGTGGCCTATAGTCACTTAGCAGTTGGTGGTACTGGAAAGACACCACCAGGCTTGTGGAAGGCAAGCGGTCGTTTCCAGTGGTGAGTGTGGTGGCGGGCACGTGCTCTGCAGTATCCACCTTGCTAAAATGCTCACCACTTTTAACAGCTTTCCCCGCTGGAGACCCCAGGCTTCTGCTCTTACCTTCCTCTGTTGCTAAGCACAGGTCTTTCACCTAGCACATCAGTCTATTAGCATTCAATACTGGAGCAGGGAACATGCGTTGCTGTGTTCTCAGGGGCTCAGATCAGCACTTGGTGACTATTACTGAGCAAGTGAATGCCTAAAGCCTGTTTAAACAGAGTTGATGGGGCTTGCGTGCCACAGGACTCTCTTCGGAGCCTTTCCTAAACCGGTGTGCACATATTAAAAGCAGAGTGACAGATGGGATTAGACTTGATCACAGAACGGGAAAGACTTCCCGCTTCAGCAGGGGAAAAGCATGGACAGTTGAGAAAAATGAATCTACAGGCATCCCTTTTTTTTTTAAATGCAGGAGAGGGGAGAGTCTCATCAAAAGACAGTACCTGCACTGTGGCTGTCGTTAGTAATTACAGACATTCAGATGTGCATTGCCTCTCTTTTGTTCGGAAGAGAAAAGAGGCTTCGTCTTCTCGTGGGTTCTGCAGTACTCCCCCCCCCCCCAGCCCTTGCTGTCTCCATCTAGTCTAGTTCTGTCTGTGGGTCTCCAGAGCCCACCCTCTGGCTGGGAATCAGATGTTGGCATCTTGACATGTGTAAGTGCCACTTAACGACTGGATGGGGAGGAAAGCGCTGAAAAGATGGATATGCCAGCTCCCGGGGGCTGGGGCTCTCTGTGTGCAGGAGCACGCTGTGACCAGGGAAGTGTGGGCACATTCAGCTCTGCCCTCGCCATTAGCTGGAAGTGGCATGGTGGGGCTGTATTGGCTCCTTGAACAATGGGGAGTTAATTACAGAAAATGCCAGGCTTTTTAAAGGCTATTCATCACCTGGTTACCGGGAAGCGGGGGCCTTTAATGGAACCCTGAGGGAAGCATGGCATGCCAGCCTCCAGTCCGCTTGCAGGTGGACATTGTGAGCCTGGACCCTAACGCCCTGGCGTGGTGGCAAGCCCCACGGAGAAGATTTGTATTTAGGGGCACGGTGCAGAGAATAGGGCATGCTTAGAGAAGTGAGGCTGAGAGAATTGGGAGTGCTTTTTGTTTAGAAAACGGGGCACATCCTCACAGGGTTTCTTTCCCCGTGGGCAGCGAATCTTAACTCTGTACACAGAGTCTAGTTCCCCATAGATGGAAGAGCAAGAAAGGGGTGAGATAGAGACACTCATGGAAGATTGCTTAGATTCTAATTAAACTTTCTCAGCTGTTTATCGAGAGCACTGTAATTCAGAGTCTCATTGGACTGCCATGGCTCCATAAGATTTTGCAGCCAGTCCTCTTAAAATGAGGAAGAGTACCTATTGCTCTGGAATGTGCCAAGAATCTGCATTTTAACCAGACCCCTGGGCCTGCGGCAGGGAGCCAGGTTCCTGTGGGTTTATTAGACTTGAGAGTCGACAAGGACAATTGAGACTGTTGTGTCTCCAACACCTATCCTATCGGATGAAAGAACATACTTTTTTTTTATGGTGAATTTGAGAAATGATTAATTTTTAATTACTTTGTCCATTCAACTTAGCTACACATGTATATGTCCATGCCAAAAATAAAAATTAAAAAAAAAAAAAGCACACGGTCACTTCAAAGGAAATAAGAAATGGTTGTTCTGGGGATGAATGTGAATGATCATGGCCTGGGAACGTGGATTCCGGTACCACATTCTAACTGGTAGCAATTTCATCAAGTTTTATCGTGACAGAGCAAAGAAAACCTCTCAGTTTCCAAAGACATTAACATCGGGTATGTGGGCTCCAGCAAAGTAGGGCAGCCTCTGCTGTGGGCCTCAGATACTATCTGGTGTCAGGCTTAGTCTTCCAGTTGGTGGAAGCTAGGGGTCTGTTCATACATTCTAAGTGAATTTATCACGGAGTCACAAGGATGTTAGGCCACCCACAGAGCTGGGCAGTGAATGAATATTTCGCATGCTGAAGATAGCCCAAGATGATTGGCCTGCAGCCCCATCACAGTCTACCTCTCCACAATCACTAGAGTTTATCATTTGTGTAAAGATTTATTGTTTGTGTCTGTGTGCATGTATGTGCAGGTGCAGGTGCCCACGAAAGCCAGAAGATGGCCTTGGATCCCCTGGAGTTAGAGTTATGGGTGGTTGGGAGCTGCCCAGCATGGGTGCTGGGGACCGAACTCTGATCCTCTGAAGGAGAAGCAAGTGCTCTTCACAGCTGAGCCATCTCCCCAGCCTCTCGTGGAAGTTTTAAATCAGGACATTTAACATTGGCGTGGCGCTTTTTTTTCTGTGAACTTTCTAGCCTCCTCACTTCTGGGGGTCCTGTGTTATAAAGAGGAGTAACGTAGGAACCGAGGGGAATGGGCATTTTGAGAGAGGACTAGGCTAGAGTCTCACTAGTTGGCTCACATTGCATGCAACTTGGAAGCCAAGGTCTGGCTTATGTTTGAACCGTGTTCCTTTGAGTCACGGCTTTTCCACTTGTGCCTGTGTGAACCACTCTATTGTCTCACTATAGGCCATGAGCCGGCATGCTAAATGCTTAAACATTGTGTGTCTCCCCGGCCTGGTTTCACCAGCTGTAGTGTGTCTGTTTGGTGAGCACCATGGGCAACGCAGTCTTCTCTGC